CCCCCCCCCCCCCCCAACCCTCTCCTCTCAGCACGCGCACTGCGCGGCTGGTCTGCGCGGCGCCCGCCCTCCGGCTGCTGGCGCGCCTGGAGACCGCGCTGAACGGCAACCTGGCCGCCATCGACGCGCTGCTGGGCGCGCCCCTGCTCCTCCCCGCCCCCGCCCACTACGCGGCCTCGGCCTTTGCCGCCGGCGCGGCGCCGCAGCGCGAGGGCCTGCTCCGTGGCCTCCTGCACGCCCTGACCTGGCTGCGCGCGCTGGTGGCCGCCTTCGCACCCGCCGCGCCGCCGCCGGAGCGCGAGAAGGTGCTGGCCCGGGCGGAGGCCTGCGTGCGGCTGGAGGCGCTGCTCGGGGGCCTCCTGCCCCTGGCGCCCCCCGGGTTTGCACTCGGGGAGGGCGACGCGGCGGGCGCGACCAGCGGAAGCCGCAAGCGGGGCGCGCCCTCGGGCGCGCGCAGCGGGGCCCGCAGGGCGCACAGAGCGCCGCTTCGTGGGGTGGCAGCCCGGGGAACCGCGACGCCGGAGGCCACCGCGACGCCGGAGGCCACCGCGACGCCGGAGGCCACCGCGACGCCGGAGGCCACCCCGCCGCCCTCCCCGCCAGCGTCGTCCACGCCAGCGCCGTCGCTGCCGCCGTCGTCCCTGCCGGCACTCTCAGGGGGGGGGCTTCTGACTGCGGCGCGAGTCCCCTCGACCGGCCTGTGCAGCGTGACCCTGTCGGATGTGCTGGACGGCCTGGCTCCCCTGGACGTGCCGGGCATCCTCGTCCTGTCCGCCAGCTGCGACGCGGCCGCGCGCCCGGCGGCGCTGGCCTACCTGCTGAGGGAGGTGCGGCGCGGGCTGTCTTCCGGCGGGGAGGTCAAGTATGTCCTGGGGTGCGGGGTGACTGGCGGCCTGGAAGGCAGTCTCACAGGGCTCCTGCCGGCCATCGGCAAGCACATGCGCGGCGCGCAGGCCATCCTCGACGCGAGCGAGGAGCCAGCGTGAGTTGGGTGCCTTGGGGCGGTGTGGGTGTCATGGCGGGCTTCGGTCTGGAAGGAGGTGAACGGAGTGAGAAGGTGTGTTTTACGAGAGCGAGTTTGCAGTGCTCATGGTGTGGGTGGGGATGCACACCCTGCCACGGTGCACTGCTCCGTTTCATCTACATGGCCTGCTCTCCTGCAGGTGCACGAGTCCACATGAAGCCGTGGCGGAGGAGGATGCCGTGGCATGCATGACGCCGCATGCCCTGGACAGGCGCTGCGCCGCCCAGCGGTGTGTGACAGTGTGGAGTGGGACGGAGCCTGAATGCTCCGAGTCGACTGATGAGCTGCATGCAGGGGTGACCGGCTCTCTGCCCGGCAGAGGGGTATTGCGTCGAGCCTGACGTCGCAGCAGGCCCTCCCCTCCACCGTCCCAAGCCCACCTCCCGGCCCTTCCCCGCAGCGTGCTGATGGAGTGCGTGGAGATCATTCTCCAGGTGCTGCGTGGCACTCAGCGCGGAGCCAAGGGATCACCGTCGCCGGGCGTCGCCGTCACAGGGCTAAGCGACGTGTTGTCTGCCCTCGACCTGGGAGGTGCGGGGATGGGGCGGAGGCGGGGGGGCGGGCGAGGGGTGAAGGAGGGGTGTGTCTGGCTGGCTGGCTGCTCATACCCTGGGGCACGCCGCTCAGCTCAGCTTCATGTCCTCGTGACCTTGCTCTGAGCTCGGGACTGGCGCCATGTGCTCTCGCGTGCCTGCCTGCGGCCTGGACTTTCACTTTCACACGAATGCCTCTTGGAATGGGTCCCCCCACTTCACACACAGGCACGGGAGACTGCGCTGCAGAGGCCGCATCCCGCTCCTTCATACAACTCCTGGAGACGGCCTCGTCGCTCGCAGAATCTGAGCAAGGCACGGCACCCACGCCCGGTGCTGCATCGGGCAGACAGGCCCTGGTCTTCCTCTGGCATGTGCTGGAGATCCTGCAGATCCTGGCCGGTGAGGCTGGCGTGCAGTGATCCATGAAGGCGTGCATGGACTGCTTGCTGGGGAAGCGAGGTTGAGGGTGGCCTCAGCAGCTTTCGGCAGGGCGGGGGGCACCATGTGTGATGTGTTCAGCATCCCCACCTCGGTATGTGCTCGACCCCATGTCGTGTCAGGAGGCGGCCCGGAAGGAGCTGCAGGATACGAGGTCATGGCAGGGTCAGACCTGGGGCAGATCATCCACGACGGAGCACGGGAGGGGCTGACCCGCGACCTCTGGACAGCGGCCCAGGTGCAGGGGGGTGGAGGCATGAGTGCTGGGAGGGGAAGAGGTACTGGTGCGGTGGGATACAAACATGTGATAGGCCTGCTGTACGACGCTGAGCATGGGATTGCGAATCACAGAACCTCCCATTCACCCTACCACTCATGTCCTCACGCTCCCCCTCACCCCTCTCACTACCCAAACAGGCCCTGCAGAGTCCATCCATCCCAGTGGCAAAGTCCCACCCGCTCCTCCTGCCCGGTCTGCTCAGCATGTACCTGTCCCATGCGACCCCCCGCATGGACGCCATCCAGGAGATCGCACGGGATCTCCTCCCCCAGGTGCCGGGCGTGGTCTCCGGCAAGCTGGCGCACCAGCCGGTGTCCGGTTGGCCCTCCCTCTGCGGCCACACCCTGGTGCACTGGTACCGCGCGGCCCTGGAGCACCTCCAGGTGGGCGGGGGCGGGTGGGAGACACTGAGGCTTTCATCGGAGGGGTTCTTGAGATCGGTCTCGACCTGCGGATCTTTCGGCCGGCACCTGCCAAGATTTTAGAAACCTTCTGGGGTATTTTGCTGTTCCAGAAGCCCGCAGCCTCGCCCAACTCACCGCTGGACCCACCTTGCTCATCCAGAACAAGCATATCCCTTTGGTCATCGCTCCCTCACCTCACAGGCGGAGTGGGACGCGGCAGTCTGCTCGGCACAGGCAGAGGAGAAGAGGGTGAAGACAAGTCCTGGACGTGGAGATTGGGAGGACACTATTGCCCACCACCGGCGGTGTGCCACCCTGTTTGCCAGCCTCATGTCCCTCGTCAGGGTCCAGGATCGGCGGCCCCAGGTGGGGTGGGGCAGGTGGGGGTTGTAACTTGGTCTCATCTTGCTGTGCATGCGGCAGGCTTGCCTGTACTCTCATGTCCTCACGCTCCCCCTCACCCCTGTCACTACCCAAACAGGCCCTGCAGAGTCCATGCATCCCAGTGGCAAAGTCCCACCCGCTCCTCCTGCCCGGTCTGCTCAGCATGTATCTGTCCCATGCGACCCCCCGCATGGACGCCATCCAGGAGATCGCACGGGATCTCCTCCCCCAGGTGCCAGGCGTGGTCTCCGGCAAGCTGGCGCACCAGCCGGTGTCCGGTTGGCCCTCCCTCTGCGGCCACACCCTGGTGCACTGGTACCGCGCGGCCCTGGAGCACCTCCAGGTGGGCGGGGGCGGGTGGGAGACAATGAGGCTTTCATCGGAGGGGTTCTTGAGATCGGTCTCGACCTGCGGATCTTTCGGCCGGCACCTGCCAAGATTTAAAACCTTCTGGGGTACTTTGCTGTTCCAGAAGCCCGCATCCTCGTCCAGCTCAACGCCACACCCACCTTGTTCATCCAGAACAAGCATATCCCTTTGGTCATCGCTCCCTCACCTCACAGGCGGAGTGGGACGCGGCGGTCTGCTCGGCACAGGCAGAGGAGAAGAGGGTGAAGACAAGTCCTGGACGTGGAGATTGGGAGGACACTATTGCCCACCACCGGCGGTGTGCCACCCTGTTTGCCAGCCTCATGGCCCTCGTCAGGGTCCAGGATCGGCGGCCCCAGGTGGGGTGGGGCAGGTGGGGTTGCAACTTGGTCTCATCTTGCTATGCATGCGACAGGCTTGTCTGTGTCGCCCAGACGCACCTTGGTCCACCCTGGAGGGGTAGAAACTACCAGAGTGATGACATGGTGTGTCGCATCCTCCACACCAGCCCTGCCACATCCCAACAGACTCTCAATCCAGCGCCTTCCATCCCCTCCCCCCATCCCCTGCAGATCATGGCTCTGGCTCTGCGATGGGGTGGCAAGTTTGTCGAGGCCTTCCTCAAGATGCTTCCCTTTTGGCGGCACCTCCTCCAGAACGGCCATCAGCCAGAGTTCCACCTCCTGGTGAGATTGAAGTGTGTACAGGGCTCTGGGCCATTCAAATCTGAGACCAAGGAAGGCACTGGTCCTGTACAGGAACCTGATCTCATCTAATCAACCTACACAATCCTCCTGTTCCCCACTTCCCCCACAGGTCAAGGACATCCAGAAGGGCACCAGGATACTGCAGATCCTGTGCGCCGAGAGCAAGATCCAGAAGCACCTCCCCGTCACATCTCAGGCCAGTCATGCGCGAATGGCATTGATAGGGCTTTGTGGTGACATCCTCTTTGTAGTGCCATGGACAACCGCTGCGTATCCGACCAGACCATGGTCTCCCACCTCCACACTCCACTGCAGGTGCCGGCCATGAAGCGGACGGTGGAGCGCTTTGTGTTCCGCATCAAGCTGCTGCTCGCCGAGACGGATCAGGCCGACGCCTTCTGGCTGGGGGCGCTGAAGCACAAGAACCTGCAGGGCCAGGAAGCGTCCAGCCAGGTGGATTGCAGGCCTGGCGTGCCGTTGCTGAGTTGGGTTCCAGCGTGGTGACCAGGCTGGGGTTTCCAAGGACCAATGGGGAATTAGTTTTACGTGAGGGCCTCTGGGGATGGTGGATGTGATGGAAGCATTCGATCTATGGTCGATGCTGACCACCCAGGCATCATCACCCCGCAACAGTTGTACCCAGAGGAGGAGGAGGAGGAGACCCCCCGGAGGAGGAAGAAGCAGAGGAAGAGCCTGCTGCAGGAGTAGAGCCCGCTGAGGGAGTTGAGGGCGAGGAAAGCATGGACCAGGATGAGTGAAAGACAGGCCTGATGTGTCTGCTGCCTCTTGAATCTCGAACCCAACGAGCTGTACATTCCCATTGCACACTGGCAGCAGCTTGCATGGCTGATCTGGGCGGCCCCAGATCAACACGTGCCAAGTCAGGGGGCGTCCGCATCGGACTGCATGGGCCAGGCGCAGGGCATGTCGGCACGCCCAGGTGGCCCCTCCTGTGAAGAGGCACGCTTCACCCAGGCGAAGCTGTGACTGCAGTCCTTGCTCAGGCGTAGTACTGCAGGGACGTCTTCTTCTTTGCCTGCACCTCAATGATGGCGTCGTTGAAGTCCTCATGCTTGATCTCCGTGGCGTCCCGCCGCAGCGCCAGCATGCCCGCCTCCACGCACACCGCCTTGAGCTGCGCGGCGTTGAAGTCGTCGGTGGAGCGGCCCAGCTCGTCGAAGTTGACGTCCGGGGAGACATTCATCTTGCGCGAGTGGATGCGCAGGATCTTGGACCGTGCCTCCTCGTTGGGGTGGGGGAACTCGATCTTGCGGTCCAGCCGGCCTGCAGGCGGTGTGGGGAGGGGGTGAGCGTCAAATGCCGGACACAGCGGTAAATGCAGCGCTCAGAGACATCGTGTGCTCATGACCTCGCTCCCGCAAGATGCACAGGCTTTGTGAATCATGGGCTGAAGGCTGCATGCCCTCAAACCCACGACCCTTGAAAACTACACCCAGGGCTGCGGTACACAAACATGGCGGCCCTCACCTGATCGCATGAGGGCGGGGTCCAGGATGTCTGGCCGGTTGGTCGCGGCGATGATCTTGACGTCGTCCTGGGAGGAGAATCCGTCCAGCTGGTTGAGCAGCTCCAGCATGGTGCGCTGGACCTCCCTGTCCCCAGACAGCTCCGAATCCCGCCGCGTCGTCCCTGGGGGTTGTGGGGAGGGGGCGTGGGTTGAGGAACGCAGAGGCCATCAGGGGAAACTGCGGGGGCCCTGCCGCGCCACCTGGTGGGCGCCTCAAGACGACACTCAGCACCCACCACCCCAGGGAGATGGACACCAGCAGCGCGCACCTATCGCGTCAATCTCGTCGATGAAGATGATGGCGGGCGACTTCTCACGCGCCAGGGCAAAGGCGTCGCGCACAATCTTGGCCCCGTCCCCGATGAACATCTGGACCAGGGCCGGCCCCGCAAGCTTCAGGAAGGTGGCGTTGGTCTGCGCCGCGCACGCTCGCGCGATCAGCGTCTTACCCGTGCCAGGAGGGCCGTGCAGGAGCACGCCCTTGGGCGGCCTGATGCCCAGCGACTTGAAGCGGTCCTTGTGCGTGATGGGCAGGACAATGGCCTCCCGCAGCTCCTGGATCTGCGAGTGTTGAGCGGGGAGTGTGCAAGGGGAATGGGATGCCAGTGGACAACACCGAGCGCTACATCCACTCAGGGCAATGCAGACACCAGGGAGGAGGAGCCTGCAAGCGGGGCACTGGAGGCGCTGCCTCAAACACACACACACACACACACACACACACGCACGCACGCACACTCCCTCTCCCCCTCTGACTCTCCAACCTGCTTATCCAGGCCCCCAATGTCGGTGTAGTCCTCGCTCGGCTTCTCATCCACCTCCATGGCCTTGACCCTCGAGTCGTACTCCGCCGGCAGCGTGTCCAGGATGAGGTAGGAGTCCTTGTTCACCCCCACCAGGTCCCCGGGCTTGAGGGTGGCAGGGTCCACCAGCCCCGCCACGGGCAGGAACACTGTCTGGCGTGTGCTGGTCTTCAGCACCACGCACTTGCCCTTCTTGGAGGCGTCCTGGTACGCGTTAGCACCTACGAATTTGTGTATGTGCGGTGGTGGTGGCGGCTTGAAAGAACGCAGGGAATGGGAGCGGGCGCCACACACACACACACAGATCCCCAGTTCCATCCCCGGGCGCCCAGTGCTCGCCAGGGTTACCCTCCTCCGTGCTCCCACGCCTCACCATCCTCCTCCTCCTCCTCGTCAGGGTCCACGTCCAGGACCTCGACGATGTTGCCCACCAGGTAGGGAAGCTGGTTGTTCAGCTTGATCTTCTCGTGATTGTCCTTGATGCGCTCAGCCAGGCCTGCCTTGTCGTGGTTCAGCCGGTTGTTCTCCTCCCGCAGCACCCGCAGCTCGGTCTCGAGGAGCCGCGTTCTGTGTTGGAAACTGATCTGAATCAATCACCCGGTATCGAGCGCGCAAGTCACCCGTCCAGGCGTCCACGATCCGCGCTCTCACCTCCGCTGAATGTCGTCTGCAGACATGGTCTTGAACTCCTCGGGCAGACCATCGTCCTGCGCCTGTTCCTCCCCGAATATCTCGTCCAATGTGGCCATCACGTGGCCCCTTCAATGGGGTCCCTGTTCAAGAGGCCCTCCTGCCGACGAAGGATCGCTGGGAGCGAGAGTGATCGGCGGGGCAACGATGACGTTCACAGACGCTCTCTGACTCTGTATCTACCCAAGGGGGTAATTGCATGCGATATAAAGACACTTTGCGCTGGCGAGGCGATCCGCAAACTCTCGTTGAGACTAGGCTCACCCAGCGGTGGTACTGCGCCCCCCCCCCCCCCCTCCAGGTTCCCATGTGGCTGACCTCTGCATCAAATTGCCCTCAAGTTTCTCACGAAACGCCTTCCATTGAAGAATATTAGCCTGAAGAGGTAGTACTAGAGCTGTTTATGATGAGAAACGTATTACAATTGGTTTGAGATCACTCGCTACAGACAAGAATGCCACGGCTGCTGTCAGGATACACCATGGAAGCGCATCCTGGCGTCTTTGTTTCCCATCCCCCAGCGTACATGATATGAAGAGATTGGGTGCCATCACAATTGTCCCCTAAGCCTGTCAGGGAGCATCGCTGCCGGTCCAGTCTGTCAAACTGAAGTCATCATTGAGGGCATCGGGGCTTGTCCAATCAAGTCTCAGCGTATGAAACTGTTTCATACAGCCATAGATCTTGCTTGTGACCTGCGTGAGTACCCCACCTTTGTGGATAAATTCAATGTTCCCCTGCTGATGGAGACTCCCCACCCCCACCCCCCCCACCCCCCCCACCCCCCCGCCAACTGCCGATGCAGTGCGCAGGGGTAGCGCGCTCGTCGTCGCGACACTGAGAGGCGCCTTGTTCGCCAGGATCCCGCTCACATTCTGCATATTCTGCCTTTTTCTGGGAGAGACTTCCCAGTTATTCTCCTGTGGAGCCTCCGCTGCAGGAAGTCGTCGCTCTGAACCCTGGCTCGGAACGCCGAGGCCGAGGACAGGGCTGGCACCCTGTCCCCTATGCCCAGCTCCGCCGTCTACCTGAACGTGTATGACCTCATAGAGCACAATGACTGGACCTACTGGTGCGGCGTGGGCATCTTCCACTCAGGAGTCGAGGTGTACGGTGTGGAGTATGCTTATGGAGGACACGAGTACGATGCCCCAGGTGCGCTCCAGGGGATGCAGGGGCCTCCAGGGTGCAAGGCTCGCGATGTCGCATTGTTGTGTCTTTCTGGCTATGCACAGGGGCCCCGCGGCTCTGCTCGAACAGGACGGCGCCTGCCCTCAGGAGCTCCTCCGTCGTTCCGAATGTCCACAGGCGTGTTTGCCACCAATCCCCGGCAAGCTCCCGGGACGGTGACGTTCCGCGAACCCGTGCTGGTGGGGGAGACGGACATGACGCCCCGAGAGGTGTATGCCATGGTGCAGGAGCTGGGCCAGATCTTCAGGGGCAACGCATATCACCTGCTGCAGCAGAACTGCAACACCTTTTCTGACGAGCTCTGCTATCGCCTGACGGGCCAGAGGGCACCCCCATGGGTAGGTTTGCCGCAATTTTGTGAGCTGCGCTTGCTCAAGTGATGAGGAGTACACCTTGTTTGTGGTACTGGATCTCTGCTCCCCTGCAGCTGAAAGGCATGGGAGGTTCACACCCACCCACTTAGTATCAAGCCTCACTCAGGCTCGCCACGCCCCTTTCCCCGTGTGCAGGTCAACCGTCTGGCCAACTTTGCGGTGTCCCTGCACTGCCTCCTGCCCCAGGGCTGGGTGCCCCCACTCCGACCCCCAACCGCCGCCCAGGCCGAGGAGCAGCGGCTGCTCGCGCCCGGTTCAGCCGACCTGGACTCCTCCACGCTGTCGCCGCCCTCACAGCAGCCCTTTTTGGTCTCGGCCCCGCAGCTCGTAGCGTGATGCATCTTGGAAAGCCCCTGGCTCCATCCCCAAACTCCCGACATCATGCGCATGGAGGGTTGGCAGCCAGGCTGGGCCAGACTGCCCCTTTCGCCCCAGGGCACCCCTCTTGCCAAACTCATGCTTGTACCATGCCTCCTTCTCGTGCAACACTTTGCCCTGCACCACACCTCTTCCCTGCTTGCCATTGCAGCTCTGCCTCCCATTCTGTGCCCCCGACGGGGCTTTGCGCCTGTAACGCAGCCAGGTTTGCTGATGCAGCGGGTGAATGCTTTCAGGGGCCTGAGCTTCTTCACTCTGCACTATATACCACGCTGCACCCCAACAGAGCTCCCCCCAAGGTTCAGGCCTTCTGGGCAAACATGCGGCCAAAGGAGTTGCGCTCGCTGGCGGCGCCCTCCCTCCTCGCCCGCGCCAGCGCCGCCCGCACCTCCTCCACGCCGGCCGCCGGCCAGCCGCCGCTGGCGCGGTCGGCGTCCGCCAGGTCGGCGTCGGCGAGACCATACTGGTGCCGACCTACATTGGCCTTGGCGCGTCGCAGCCGCGCTCGCGCGTTGTCTGGGTCGAGGGCCAGGACTTTGTCGCAGAATTCCACCGCCAGGCCGTAGTCCTGCGAGGGGGGTGGGGGGGTACCAGCGGTGGGTCGGCGGGCTGGCCGGTTTCTGTGGATATCCGCCCCACCCCTTGCGCAAGGTGCTTGCATGGGGCGGGACAAGGGGGGGAGGGTACCTTCCCGGCCGCCCAGATGGACGATTGCAGCAAAGCTTCTCGTTCTGCAGGCCCCACCCTGCATCCGTATCGCGCTGTCCCTACTTTCACGAACCTCCGCGCATCCTCCACCTCTCCCACCCAGCCGCCACTCTCATCCACCTTCACCTTCACCAACCCTCCCTCACACCCCCTTCCTTCCTAACCTTTTGCTCCAGGTGCACCGCCGCGATGTTGTTGTACACCGCCACGCGGTTGAGCACCACCTCAGCCTGGTCGGCGCTGCCCAAGCCCTCCACAAACTCCACCACCGCGGCGGCACGGGTGTAGGCCGCCAGCGCCGCCTCGTATCGCCGCGCCCGGTACAGTTCATTGCCCTTGCGCCGCTCGGTCAGCTGCGTGATGGAATGGCAAACGGGGGGTGCGTTGGTGGAAAGCGGGGAGTCAGGCGGTTGAGAAGGAGTGAGCCGGCTTCCGATCCCTTGGTCTGGGGCTGGGGGCCGCTCAGCGTCTGTATGCAGGAGCAGCACCCCTCCCCCTTCCTTCCCAGCCCCGGCCACGCCCTCGACCAACACTCATCCCCCCCACCCTCTCTCAACACCCAGCCTCACGTGCTCGTTCAGCGCCCCGACCAGGGCGTCGGTGGGCAGGCGCGCCACGCGCCGCGCTTTCCGCTGGAACTCGGCGTGGGCCTCGTGGGAGGGGTCGCGCAGTTGGGCCAGCATGACATGCTCCATCTCCGCCTCGGTCATGGACCCCGAGTCCAGCAGGGCCTGCGCGGCCGCCAGCATCTCCAGCACGCGCGGGTTGGCGGCCCAGGCGGAGAAGTCGCCGCGCGGGTCGTTGGCGAAGCTCTGCACCACGCGCCGCAGGCAGGGCGTGCGGAGGAAGGGGGCCACACCGCGCTGCGCCTCGAAGTCGGCGCCCAGCACCGCGGAGCGCAGGCCCTCCAGCTGGGCTCGCTCCTGGGCAGAGAGGGCCTGCCGCACCTCCTTGCGCTGCTGCTTCTCCACCACCGCCGCGTTCTCGGGCCGGGCCAGGAACTCCTTGAAGCTGGCCTCCTGTGTTTTTGTTGCAGGGGTGGTGGGCGGGGAGGGCCCGAGGTCGCGAGGTGAGGCTGGAGCGGAGACTAAAGAATCAGATAATGACGCTGCCGCTGCCTCAGGCTCATGCAGGGGCCCCTCATCCACACACTCTTCCACACAGCACCCAGACATGCTCACCATGGCCTTGCCCTGGTCGACGCCCATCCCTCCCTCCCTCCCCCCTCGGAACATGGGGTCGGGAGGAGGTGGCCTGGGAGATGCTCAGGGGAAGGGGGAAGGCCCGATCGGTCCGTGTGGGGCGTGCACCGTGGGGGTCAACCCTTTTGCAGGGCCTTTGACCTGCAGGGCCTGCACCAGTCTGCACAAACTTCCGGCAGTGGTCAGCTCACACCACCCAGCACCAGAACACGTGTACGAGATTGTAATGATGCGTTAACTCTGGACAGAGAAACCTAAACAATCTCCTACTGACAACGTGGGGCATCGCGGATTTGAGTTTTCCTCCCCACCCTCACTCCGTCGGGTCCCGCGGTACCGGGACCCGAGTACTGGAGAAGGGGACGGGGCGCAGACCCGACCTCCTGCCCAGCACATGACTGGGGCCGGCAGGGCCATTGATCGCCCTCCATTCATTGCATTGTTACATAGAGGGCGTCAGTGAAAGTGCCGGCGCCTGTACCCTGGACTCTCTCCTGCCACGCGAGCTCTCCCCCCACTTCAAACGAACAGGGGCACCCCGACCTCCTTCGTGCCCCACATCGTGGTAGGATTCTGCATAGGGTGCACTGTGGATTCCAGGACTCATAGTTGCGGTGTCCTATCGCCTGCATTTCCCTCGACCTGAAGTCAAACTTGCGCCATCTGCGTCATGGTGCAGACACCGCCTTCCTGCCGCCATGGAGGAGATCATGAAGAAGCGCCAGAAGGCCCTGGATGAGGCCTATGAGGCACAGTGGGATGGTGGTCGGGGATCGCACCACCCAGATTACGACCCGGAGGCCACCGGGGAGGGCGTGGTCAAGGCCTCCCGGGAGACCGAGGAGCTGTACAACGCCATCGTGAAGAACGACATCAAGACCGTGTACAAGAAGATCGAGGAGGGTGCGGATGTTAATTTCCTCTTTGGCCGAGCCTACAAGTGCCCTGAGGGGTACACCCCTCTGATGGTGGCAGCCCACAGGGGGCGCCTGGAGTGTGCCAAGGCGCTGCTGCGTGCCGGCGCCGACCCCAACTTTGTCAATAATGGCGGCGACCTGACCCTGTTCTGGGCCCTGGACGGCGGTGAGTGCATGGGGCATGCTGCAGGGTGCTGTAGTTGGAGTTCTGCTGGGAAGGGCGACCTGCAGTGTGACGAGACGGGAGTCTCTGGCGGGGGATGGCATGAGCCACGGAAGCCGCACACTTCACAGCCAACCCCCAACCCAATTGTGCAGGCGTGGAGATCACCAAGCTGCTGCATGACTATGGCGCGGATCTGGATGCCGTGTCGCCCAAGGATTGGACCCCTCTCTCGTACGCAAAGGCCAAAGGAAAGTACGGCGCCACCGAGGAGAAGGGCATCTACCCCGAGGTGGGTCCAGGGACGATGGTGGCCTGAGGGAGAATGTAAAATTGGTCCATCATTGGGATGCAGGAGAATCCACAATGGCATGTGACTCAGCACTTCTTCCCAACACGCCTTCTTCGCTACGATACAGGATGTGCTGAAGTTTTATGGGGCTACGAAGTATGGCTCTGGGCCACCAGCTCTGGGCGATCGATCGCCTCGGGAGTCGTACAACCCCCGTGGAGAGGGCTTCCTGCGTGAGAGGGGCAGCTACCAAACCCCCCAGGAGCACCCTTGAGCCTGTTGCAGAGGGATTGGAGATGCTGTGCCTGCTGTGCTGGGGTTACAATGCCGGACCACCGTCGCACGATCGCCCCATCACAGTTTCGTTGTGCTGCGCCTTGTGTGTCGACTGTCACCATTGTCAGAGGATCTCGCCAAGGATGAGGAATTGCCCGCGGGCAAACGTGCAGACAATGGGGCTTGACAGCCCGACGACAGAGACAGGCACCGCGCTTCCAGATCACATTGGCATGCAGTTGCGGCTTCTCGGAAACAGGGCACAGGTCCTCGGAGTGGGACTACAGTCGCATATAGATAGAGCGAGGCAAGCGGTCGAGGACCGCTGGGCGCATGGGGCTCGGCGCCGTCAAGCTCAAAGGGTTGCACCCTTTGCGGCGATCGCAGCACCTGCCGGGGCTCATGCAGGAAGCAAGGAGGAGCTGGGACGGGCCACATGGACCCTCCTCCATACAATGGCTGCCCAGTTTCCGGATCGACCGGCTCCCAGTCAGCAGCGCGACGTCAAGAATCTGGTGCGGGGGGCCACTGCCACTCCTTGTGGGTCGTGATGTATTCCGGAAAGACGAGGCATCAACAGATCTGTCCAGCCGTTCTACAGATCGACATCCTCACGCGCATGTATCCATGTGGCGAATGTGCAGCTCACTTCAAGGAGCTTGTAAGGTTTGTAGACAGGGGGGCCATTGATGGCCTTGGGGGCCCAAATGGCTGCCGTTGACATGCTTGCCATGACCGTCCAGAGTCCAGGTGGCAGGATCAGCAGCACACCACTCATGCCCACTCTTTCCCAAACCTATCATGGGGTAGGAACAACCCGCCGCGGGTGGCCAGTGGGCCCGAGCTGCAGCAGTACATGTGCGAGTTACACAACCAGGTCAACCAGCGCCTGCGCAAGCCGGCCTTCAACTGCGCGCTGGCGGGGGCGAGGTGGCGGGCCCTGGACTGCGACGAGGACGGCGTCGCTGCGTGCGCCATTCAACCGGCAAATTCGTCGCTTGGCGCACGGCGGTGGCCGTGGTAGTGCAGGGATTCCAAGGATTTAGACTCAGGAATCGCCAGGCAGGAGAAGTATAAGAGAAAATAAGAGGGCGAAGGAAATAGCACACTCCTCTGCCCCAGCCAGAAGTAGAGGTCAGGTTACAAGAGAGTATGTTCTGTCACTGTTGAGGATGAAGCAAGGAGTCAAGATTGGCCGCCAGCGCCCCCCCGCGCGGCCGGCACCAACCTTCTCACCGCTTCTGGTTGGGCCGGAACTGCTCGCCGACGGGTCGCTGAATGTAGCGCTTCTCCTCGTCCTCCTGCTTGGCCTTGGGCGGCTTCAGCCCCCCCAGCGCCACCGACCCGCCCTTGGACTTCTTGGGCTTCTTGCTGGCAAAGTCGCGCCAGGTGCCCACCCGCCCTTCCCGCGTCTTCTCCCACCGCCGCTCGTGGTCGCGCGCGCGCTTGGCCTCCGCCTTCTCCTGCTTGTGCTCCGCCTTGGCCCGCTCCGTCTCCTCCTCGATCCGCCGGTTCAGCTTGCGCCGACGCCACTCCGAGTTGGCCAGCACCTCCCGCGCCTTCAGCTTCCAGGCCTCGTGAAACTGGGCTGTGCCCTCGTACGTGGCCTGCACGCCCTCCGTGCCCGCCGCGTTCATCGTGGCCGCCACTCGCACCGCCGCATCGTGCTTGGCGGCCTTGCGCCAGGCCTTCAGCACCTCCTCTATGAGGGGGAGGTTGGGGGGGGGGAGGTGGCGGAGAGGGAGGGTGGGGGGGGGGGAGGGTGGGCGGGAGAGGGGAGGGTGGGGGGGGGGCCGGTGCCACGTGGGCAGAGACGCCCGCATTCGATGTGATGGGTGCAGGGGGCGAGACGGGGTTGCCCAGCAAGGCGATTATAGGATCCAACAGACACGCTGTGTCAACACTCGCCCTCCCCCACACACATCTGAAATCCCTTTTCCCCTATGCTTCACACCTTTAGCAAAGTTGAGGAAAAAGTCCAGCGTTGCCTTCTTGTCCTCGTTCTTGAGGTCCTTGAGTGCCGCGCCGATGATCTCAAAAGCGGTCTTCGCCATGGGGTGCGCGCACTTGTCGGGGTGGACCATGAGGGAGGACTTGCGGTACTGCCGCGGCACGACCTCCATGCTCGCGTCGAAGCGCAGGCCCAGCTGCTCATAGGGGTTCAGCTTGAAGGCGCCCAGGATGCGGTTGACCTCGTTGTCTCGGTCCACCTCCTTCATGTCGGAGTAGAACTCCTGCGCAGGGGGAAGGCATGCAGATTGCTAGCGTGGTAACGAGACAAGGGCGAGGGGCTGCCGCAGGCACGGCATTGCATCATGCACACTCAACACACAGGAGGGGAAAGGGGATGCAACACCCTGCCGGCGCCACTTGGCTGGGCAGCAGCCATCAACACATGTCAATGCCGCCACACCTGGAAGCCATCCTCGTGAACCCCTTGCATCAATCCAGCATTTACCTTGAGCGCCGGATCGTCGGTATCATGGATGTCTGCCGCCTCCTCCAGGGCCTGCTCCGCCTCCTCCCTCTCCCTCTGTGCAACGATGAGGGGATCCTCCTCCTCTTCCACCTCCTCAGCATCGGCTGTGGGAGGAGTTGGGACGGACTCACCATTTGTATCAGATTCAGGAGGTAGAGGAGGGGAAACGCCTGGAGGATCAGCGGGGGGTGCCTGCTCCTTGAGCGGAGGGACAGCGTCCGGGGTTATGGAGGTTAATCCAGCCTCCTCTGGCTGCCCTGACTCGGCCATTATATCGTGGAATGTTTGAAATTCGTTCAGGACAGAGCTTCAATGGTGCACCTCGCAATCGTGCTCAAGTTTTTCTCATCGACGAACCCTCCAGGACATCCAGGTCGTCGCGCCCTGGCCGCGACAAGGCGCGATGGATGGGTATATTGTTCGTCGCTGCATACATCGTGGGGCCAGGTCGTCACAAACAGTAGACCTGGACAAAGCATGTATATATATCATTGAAACTCCGAGCACTGAATATAGCCCCAGACACCCCGAGTCTGCACCCCGCATGCTGCCGTGGTCTTTGCTAGTATCCGCATATATATAAGGCTTTGCGGTCCTTCTTGCAAACTACAGTGCGAAGTCGTGTAGACCAATGTCGGGTCTCCGCGCTGCAGGCGGTGTGGCCAAGCGCTCGGCCAAGAAGGTCGCAAAAGGCTTCTCAGGTACGGTGGGTGGAGACTCGCATCTGCCAGGGAGTACTCACGCAGCATGAGGTTGTGACCTGAGCCAAGGCAGGAAACCAGAAAGGTGGAACCACAGGCAAATTCACGCTCTTTTCTCTCCCAGGCATTGAGTTCCACAAGTCCAAGGGCCAGCATATCTTGAAGAACCCCCTGGTTGTGCAGTCCATCGTCGACAAGTCTGGCCTCAAGTCGACCGATGTTGTCCTTGAAATTGGGCCAGGAACCGGTAACCTGACCATGAAGCTGCTGGAAAAGGCGAAAAGAGTGGTCGCCGTCGAGCTTGATCCGCGAATGGTGAGGCAGGGGGCAGGTACCTCCTGGTGGGAGGATGCTGTGTGTCGAGCCACTTCTGGACCAGCGCCCGGTGTCAGAGCCTTGCTGCAGGTGGCGCCCCACTCCTCCTGATCTGGTATACAGAGTGCTGAAAACCCCTCCCCTCACTACCTCTATGCTGTCTTGTCGTGCTGCTCCTCAGGTGTTGGAGCTGCAGCGAAGAGTGGCGGGGACTCCACACAGCGCCTCCCTCCAGATCATCCACGGCGATGTCATGAAGGTCGACCTCCCATATTTCGACGTGTGTGTGGCCAACATCCCATATCAGATCTCCTCCCCGCTCACATTCAAGCTGCTGTCCCACAGGTGGGTGACTTAGGGGGTTTGAGGGGCATCATTTGGCAGCTTTGGAATTCGTGGACCTGGAGTTTGGGGCATAGGATGCACCATCCACCAGCGCTTCCCCTCCAACACCCCCCCCACAGGCCAGCATTCAGGGCAGCAGTCATCATGTACCAGCACGAGTTTGCCATGCGGTTGGTGGCAAGGCCCGGGGACCCCCTGTACTCCAGGCTGACCGTCAACACCCAGCTCCTCTCCAGGTCTGTTGCGGGGATTCATTGTGGGCGTCGTCCAGCTTGTACAGTATGGATGGGGTACTGAGTGTCGGGTGTGCAGCTTTCCGAAGGTTACAAAGGCAGGCGCACGACTTGAATGCCTCGAGCTGTCATTTGGGAGCGGCTTCAGTCCTCTTTCTCCTATGAATCTCTCACTCTTTCTGACTCAAGGATCATCCTGAGGGCCCCATGTGCCAAGGCCCAACTCACCCCATGCGCTCCCCTCAATCCGCTCACAGGGTGCACCATCTGCTCAAGGTGGGCAAGAACAACTTCCGCCCGCCCCCCAAGGTGGACTCCAGCGTGGTGCGCATCGAGCCGCGCAACCCCCCTCCCCCCATCAACTTCCTGGAGTGGGACGGGCTGATCAGGCTGTGCTTTGGGCGCAAGAACAAGACGCTGAGCGCCCTGTTCCGGCAGTCCACAACGCTGCACCAGCTGGAGGAGAACTACCTGCTGAGTAACGCGCTGGTGAAGGGCGCGGACGGGACCACCCAGGACCTGGCCTCGGCGCTGGCTACGATGGCCATCGAGGCGCCGGCTGGAAAGGAGGCGGAGGAGAGCGAGGAGGAGGGCGAGGAGGAGGACGAGGACGAGGAGATGGACTTGGAGGGTGGCGCACAGCAGGCCAAGGCCGCGCAGCCGAGGAGGAAGAAGCGGGGGAGGGCCAGCGAGGAGTTTAAGCAAAAGGTGCTGGGCGTGCTGCAGGGCGGCGGCTTCAGCGACTGGCGCGCCGCCAAGCTGAGTCAGGACGAGTTCCTGGCCCTGCTCGCGGCTTTCAATAGGGCAGGCATCCACTTTGTATGACGCTGCCTGCATGGCTGCGCTGGTATCGTACAACTCTGTAACATTGACAGCCGCCACATCTGTCCTGGGAGCGTTCGACGACCCGGATGCGATCATGAGTTGACGAATCACCGTCACGTGGGCCAGCAAACATGAGGATCGGATCATGGCGGTGAAGCATGTTGCAGAGGCACGGCCCATTTGATCGTACTGAGTTCTGGGACTGGTGTTATCAAGGATTCACACACGCCATGATACTCGCCGCAGCGCACCCCGTCCCTCGAGTCACCGGCAGGGTCCCGGCCTCGCAGGGTCCATCATGCAGTCCCAGGAGGGCGATGGCAGTGAGGACGGCGTGCCAGGCTGCTCCACATGATATGGAGAGGCGCCATGCCCTGATCGGGATGCTTGGTGAGAGGATGGGGCCCCTGCGATTGGCCTGGTCGCCCATGCTGCTGCACCCCCCTCGTGCATGAGCATCATGGGTGGTATCTGCGTGCCCAGGGTATTCCGACTCCCTCCCAGACCGCTGCCTGCACCCCATGCCCTCCAGGTGCCGGCTGCCTCCTGCCCTCGGCGGCAGCCCAGGCCCAGGAACTGGGCTCCCAGGTGAGTGTGGACCAGCTGAACACATTCCAGAAGGCCGACATCATCGCTGACGTGCAGCGGCGGGCGCTCAAGGCGCTGAAGCAGGAGCTGACGGCCGCTGACGCCTCCAGCGCGCTGCGCCTCGTCCTGCACGACGCCGCCACCTACAACGTGGCCACCGGAACCGGCGGCGTGGATGGGTCCATTGTCACCTCGTGAGCGGGGGGCCTTGTTGCAGAGTGTCATGGGATGGAAGGCTGTGGCATGGGATGTGGTTGCGAGGGAGGTGGAGGGGGTTGCAGGGAGACTCCCTAGCACAAATGTTGCCCAGCCACGTACACCAGCATGCGCTGCGGTGAATGAAGTGGAGGGCATGCCATGCTGCAGCCTCCCTGCCCCACCGCAATTTGCTGTTCCCTTGCTACAGGGAGGAGCTGGATCGGCCAGAGAACAAGTCCTTGGTGCCGCTGGTCAAGCGCCTGTCCAAGGTCAAGGCGGAGCTGGATGGGCAGGCGGAGAAGCGGGGTCAGGCCCCCATCTCCTGGGCGGATCTCATCGTGCTGGCCGGCGCTGCGGCGGCCAGCCTGGACTGGAAGGCCATCAAGCTGGGCCGCGCCACCGACGCCGCAGGGGGGGAGATCATCGCCTCGCAGCTGGCCACCCCCATCCCCGTCTCGCTGGGGAGGGGGGACTCGCCGGCGCCCAACCCCAGCCCCATCATCCCTACCCCGACCGAGAACGCCAGCCCCCAGGAAGTCAAGGTGGGGCCCATGGAGGGTGAGGTGTGGTGTGTGAGAGGGGGCGTAGGCCACCTTACTGCTGGAGCATGCAACAGAGAAGGCGCCAGCAGCGCAGCAGGGGAAAGGATTATGGAGCATGGTCGGCATGCTCAGCACCTTCCCGCGACATGATTCTGCACGGACGTATGCCGCTTCCTCTCCTCAACCCAGCACATGCCTGTTGTGCCCTCAACAACCCTGCAGGACTTTTTCAACCGACTGGGCAACCCCAGCTCTGACAACGGCGAGGGTCTGTTCTCACGCAAGCCCCCCTTCTTCCCTCGGGCCGCCTTTGTGCTGTGGACAGCGGCGCAGCCAGACCCCGCAGCGGCCGAGGCGAAGCTGGCTACGGACCCGGCCTTTGCGGAGTGGAAGACCAGCTACGACCGCAGCCGGCGCACCGTCACCCGCAACAGTGAGTCGTTGGAGTTTGGTCTGGGGGCTTGATGGTGATCCTGAGTGGCACTCTGCTCTCGCAGTGTGTTTCATTGCCACTAGGTGGGATGCAGGTCCAGGAAGGTGCCAAGTTGCGCATTATGTCACCTCAAGCAGAAGCTTCCTGCTGCAGTGCCCAGCACCTCAATGTAGAACAGCCTCCGATGTCCCCCAACTGTGCCTGCCCAAACCCCTGATTCCCCCTAAACCCCTCAACCCAGACTACGAGGTGGACTTTGGCACCTACTACGAGCGCCTGGCCAACCTGGGTGCCAAGTTTGATCGCACCCGCTACCTCATTCCCCTGAAAACAGCCAACATCCCCCGGCTCTGAGGTGCTTCTCCTGTTGTACCAAGAGAAAGGTCACCATGTTGTCGTTGAGCTTACACAATACCAAGAGTCTCCAGTCACTTTGACTTTTCAGGATAAAGAAAAGTGGCAGTTTGGGCACCAGGCGCAGCTGCAGTGAAACCTCACGGGCGGCGCACCCCCTGACGCAGAACAAGGATGCATAGCACATGCCACGCCAGACCCCTCACTCGTCAGCCACTCCCTCCACTAGCTGGAAAGCGCGCAGGGTGTCGCACACCGCCTCCACCCCCGCCCCCCGCCGGATGATGGAAAAGGTCCCTGGCCGCGTCAGGTCCACCACCGTCGACCCGGTCCGATCGGTGCCCAGCACCCCGTCATCATACACCGCCTCGCACTGCGGCCAGAGTTGCTGCGGGGTGGTGGGTGAGAGTGTGGTGCCCGAGGTATGATGCGTTTGGAACGGGGCCCCACCAATCATCCCTCGACACCGTTACGCAGCCGGGTACCCCCTCCATCACCTGACCACAACATATCCGCCTCTCTTTCTCCCCACCCCACCCCCAAAATCCCCCTCCTCACCTGAAACTCGGTCACCGCCACGCTGCTGGTCTGCCCCGAGGCGTTGGCCGAGGTGAGGGCCAGCGCGCCGCCCAGCTGTCGGGCGACCGCCCGCACGAAGGCCGAGTCCGGGATTCGCACGCCCAGGCTCGCCGTCCCGCGGTTGAGCCCCGGCGCCAGCGGCGCGTCGGCCCTCCTTTCCAGCAGCAGGGTGACAGGTCCGGGGAGCAGGGCCCCCACCAGGCCGGGCGGCAGGTGGGCGGCGGTCACGTAGCGCGGCAGCGCCCGCGTGTCGGCCAGCGCGATCGCCACGGGCTTGGCGTGCCGCCGGCCCTTGACGGCGTAGAGGCGGGCCACGCCGCCCTCGTCGCGCGCGCTGGCGGCCAGGCCGTAGAGCGTGTCAGTGGGCAGCGCCACGACGCCGCCGCCGGCCAGCGCAGCGGCCGCAGCGCGCACAGCGTGCAGGGCGGCGGGGCGCACGCCGCCGGCCGAGGTGGGGGGCGGTCCTTGGGTGCTGACGCAGCGCGGCGACTCGGGCGACGCTCCGCCGTCGACCCTCGGTCCTTGAGAGCCGCTCGCCCTCGCGCGAGAGGGCAGGAAGGAGAGGTCAAAGACCACAGGGAGGTGGTCGGAGGGCAGGCTGCGGGAGGGCAGGAAGGAGCCCAGCTCGGCGGCGCTGGGCGTCGGCATGACATCGACGCACTCCAGCGCGGCAGGGTCATACCTGCAATATTGGGGAGGTTTGGGAGGAAGTGGGCAAGTGTGGTGAACGGGAGCCGGGTGGATGAAATTCTTTCCCCATTGACATCTTTACCGACCATTCATGCGTCACATCACTACTGCAC